CTCTTTCCCTTGCTTAGGTGGGAGGTGTGGGAAGGTTAAAAAGTCTGCTTCTTAAGTTACACCCCTGTCTCATCCCTGCTATTTACCCGGGATTCTGTTGGAGCATCTTCTTCTTGGCTTTGTTGAGACTACAAACTCCTGTCCCTCTTTTTCCATCAGGCTGAAGAAGAAGGATGGGGAAGGTGGACATGACAAAGGGTGTGGGTAGCTTTGGGGAAGTGGGGTTACCCTTATAAGGGGGTACCCTTATAAGTGGGGTTACCCCTTATAAGTGGGGTTACCCTTATAAGCTCCAGAAAGGTACAGCTCTTCTGTATGTGAGGTGCTCAGGACTTTCCCCTTTTAGCTTGATTGCTCTCCTCCAATGCCAGGCATTCAGGAGAATTTTTGCATATTTGTTTAGATAAAAAAAGTTAAGAGGGTAGGTAGTTATGGTGGAGTGAAAAGCTCAAGTCTGACAGAGGAAATGTCATCTCTGGGGAAGAAGATGCTGGGGAAGAAGCATCCAATTAAACAGGGATATTTTAATGTGGTCTGAAATGCAATTTTCTTAGTGAAGTGGGTGCAAATTTTATGCTAAAAATTCATGGCTAAAAATTCTTTCCAAGATTTTTTGAGCACACTCATTTATATTTTTGAGAATTTTTTCTCAGAAAATAATGTATGTTTATTAAAAATAATAATGCATGCTTTTGGCAGAAAAACTAAACTTGAAAAGATGCAGAAAAGTTTTCTATAAGAACACAAAAAATGGTCTGCAATTGCATGACTGAGGGATAATCAGGTTTGGTGGGAGACAGAATTCTGATTTAGTACCACTTAGGTTTACATCATGAAAGAAAGATCATACTTCATCTTGATTTTACTTTCATTTTTTCTGGGTTGGAAAGTTGTACAGAGGACACAGGGGGTAACGAGACTTGGAATATGGAATTTATCAAAAATCATTAGGGCTCTGAGAAAACAGAAAGCCTTATTTTGCTTTAAATAAGCTCACTGTAGTGATAAGAAATATTTATCTATAAGAAGAAACTCTCAAGGCCCATTTTCTCTCCTTCACTGATGCTCCCCGCTGCTGATTGATCGATGCGCTTAGTGGTCAGCATGTTTTATGCATGGCCCCTGAGATTTCAGGGGGGCTCGGACTGACTGAGAAACCACCTTGGGAGGGGCCATGCATAGGGCCAGAAGAAGCAGCCTCAGGACAGAAGAGACAATGATCAACCTTCTGGAATGTAAACTTCCCAGGACCTGAGGATCTCAGGATGTAAAATTCCTAGCATCTCCTCTTTCTGAGATGGAAAAGCAGACCCCCGAAGAGCAGCAATATTTTGGGGAGACAGGATTTGAGGTGCTGGGGGCTGGGGTGCAGTCAAGGAACAGAGAGGCCCCAGGAGGCCTTCCCCAGGTAAAGGGAGGACATCTCATTTTTTCTAATTCGTCAACGAGAGGACGACAGCGTCGGCAACTTGTGGTCTTACAGCTTCTTGTCTTCCCCAGTGTTCCCTCAAGATTTCCTGATGGGGGCCTCCCTGGTGGCGCAGCGGTTGAGCGCTGGGTTGCAAAGCTGCCCGCAGACTCTGCAGTGCCGGTTCGATCCCCGGCTGCTCCCCGGCCACCGGAGGAGGGTCCCGCGTGGCGCGCAGACCTCTCCTGCCGCCTGCTGCTCCCCTCAGCAGTGTACTTCGGTCCTTCTGCCTGCTCTGCTCCCTGCTCTGGCTCTGGTGAATTCTCTCACCCTCCCGTGCTTCTGACTGTACCCAGTGCTTGTATAAATAAATAAAAATAAATCTTAAAAAAAAAAAATTGCTTAAGTGAAAAAAAAAAGTTTAAAAAAAAGAAAAAATATTCCCTGATGGTTCTTTTAAACTTAAACAAGCAAAAGAGATATTTTTATATTCTTAAGGGTAGTTTTCGATTTTTAGAATGAAGAGTTTGAGTTGTGGAAAATGAGTAAAAGGAGGAGAAAGGACTTAAGGCATCATAATTAAAATTTTCAAACTCATGATGACGAAACATGATATGCTCGTGCTACTAGTGTTGAGGGGCTTCTCAGAACTGAGAACAGATATACAGACAGGCTTTCCTGTGTGCCAGGCACTGTTTTATGGACACTACCCCTCTTCAAAACCAAACCACAAGCAAAAACTTGCTCTGAGTTCCTCCTCACAGTCAAAGCAATGGTGAGAAGGGTTCATATGCACCCTGCAGTCACACATCTGGGCTTGCCCTATGATCTGGTAACAACATAGTGACTTTTCCTTGGGCAAGTCACATACTCTTTAGTTTCTTTATCTGTAAAATGGGCAAGAAAATGTTTATCTCAAAAGTTGTTTAGGAAACAAAATAAGATATTTGAAAAGTACTTGGCACATGCTCAGCAGAATGTTATTCATTAGGATTCCTCTTAAAAATTGTTCCTTTGGAAATCAAGGGAATCTCTGTGTTGTTTCCTCCATGAGATAATAAGAATCATCTCAGTCATTACAGGAAATCCCACAAATAGGATCTGGGTGGTGACGGGGTCGGGAAAGTTGAGTCTACCATACAAGGACAGAGAGATGCTCTTGATCTGGCTATCTGGGGTGGATGGGAAGAAAGTATGGTGGGCATGGAAGGACCCAGGATATCATGCTTGAGGAGGACTCGAGATAATAGGTCGGTAAATGGAATCACTGACGGTGATTGGGGGAAAATTTGGTATCCCTTGGTTTTTCATTTCTCTCTCCAAATCTAGAAAGAGAATAAATTGAGATCAAGAGGGAGATGTATGCAAATACAGAACAAGCTGTAGTCAGAAGGAGGCAGACAGCCTGGCCAGCTGCCTCTGAGGTATAGATAGATTCAGCTCAACTCTACTGAGGATTGCAAAGGAGATCCTATTTATTTTATAATTAACACATGGTAAGAGGAATGCATTCTTCCACTTTGGCATGAGGTTCTGGAATGTCCAGTGACAACCCTGGTATGCTCTCAAAAGATTTCATATCCCAAATCTTTTGCTGCTGTGTCACTGGTACTCTGGAAGGGAGCAAAAGCCAGACCCTTTTTGATAACAATGAAAATCCTTGGATTTAAATATGGAACACAAGTGAGGAGCACTGTTTAACTCTTGGCAGAGCTATGAATGCCTGAGGCAGAACCCCAAAGGAAACACTACTTTCAAACTTTCTCAGAACATATCTTAGAGAATTCATTGGATAATGCAAATACATGTCCAAACAAGTCCTGGTTTGCTCAGTGAGTGTGCAGAACTGGCAAGCATCACTTGGCATGAAGATAGTGGAGCAATACTTCAGTTTAATGAGTGACCTTGGGGGTCTATCATGAGCACTATGTGGTATTTCCTACATGTCTCCTTGGAACATGGACAGATTGCACCCACAGTGGAAGAAAAGACCTCCGGAAAGAATGGCCACAGTTCCTGAAATCTTTGGGAGTTTATTGAGACAACTTAATGACATATAAATGAATTCTTTGAAACACTCCCAGAGTTCCCAGGGTAAAACATTTCCCTTCCCACAGGTAAGCAAATAAGAGTGCAAAGTAAGGAGACTGAATTTTTAGAGCGGAGGGAAGGATGAGGTTTGATTTTGAAACTATTGTATATATAGTTTCAGGTATGTTGTAATGCTGCAGTATCCTTGGAACAACTGAGCGGCTTTGACTCTTCGGAAAGACAAGAGTCATGTGTACTAAGCACACACATTTATTTTAAAGACATAATTTCATGGTCACATCTCACCTGTGAGCCCTGATGATTTCAACTTTTTCTGTCAGAGAAAGTTAATAGTAACATCTTAGATGGTGGGGGATGAGAGCCAGAACATAGAACGTGACGAGGAAAACACACACCCCCTGTCCTGTGAACAGTGTTTCGCTGAGATGGAGAGACAGAGGGAATGAACCTGACTGCACGATCACACGCTCAGGCCTTAGATCCAGTCACGGGGTGTGACTTCCTAAATGCAAATTCTCTTCTTCCCAGATCTGGGGCACTATGTGATCCATCATGCAAAGTATGTGCAGTGCTGTACTGACCTTTATTTTTATATTTCTGGGCTGGCTCAAGCAAAATGCTCCGTAGAGACTAGGCCTCCCCAGCATGCTGGGATTTTGGCAGAATTGAGTACAGTTCTGGGGTGTTTGGAAGAAAGTTATCCAGTCCTTCAGGCTGAAAGGAGGGGATGGTGGCCCAGAAGCCGGGTCAGGAGCGTTGAAAGAGATAGATGTTCTGCAGGGAGGGACCTCTTCTGTGTGTGCTAATGTATCACAGGGCTTGGTATAATCAGTGAAATAAGAAATCCTCTATCTTAAGATAAATAATTCTGAAGTGTGAAAACATGGTAAGAACTGAAATTAATGTGAAATAAACTTATCAGGCAAACTCTTTTTATCAGATAAATCTGGCATCTCATACATGGGACTTATTTGTGCCCAACAGACCAAGAGGAGATTTCTTGTGATTTATTTACTCCAGTTTTAAAAAACAAAATCATTAAATGCATTTTAGACACAAGAGCTAATTCTGGAATAGGTCCTAGTCTGAATCAGGAAAATGCACATTTTCATTTGTTTCCTAAGGTTTAAAGACATACTCCTAGGAGAGGTCATTTCTTCTGTCCTCATTTGCATTTGCTGTGACTCCCCCACTCCCCAACAAAAGCAACAACAACAACAAAAAAATCCCAAGCAAAAAGCCCTTAAGCTATAAAATTTATGTCCAAGAAAAACATTTAGTTTGAAAAAGAGTTGAAAAATGTAGCCTTGGAAGAACCACTGCTTACATGGGATTGTTCAACAAATTCCTGTTGTGTGAGGTTTGGCATATACTTTCTAAAAATATAAGCATCTGGGGAAATGAGACAAAGCCCAGGTCTTGGACCAAATGAGGCACGCAGTGTGAATCTGTTAGTGATTATATCCATAATGAAATATGTGCCCAAATTTAGCAGTGCAAAACTTAATACAATACGAAAGCCTGGAGGCAGCGTCCTTACCATAATATATAGCCCACGGAGAAGGTACATGTGGCAGCGAGTCCGCTGCTCCTGCTGGGATATGCATGGTGGGATGTCCTCATCTCGATTAATATAAAGGGCAGAACTGTCGTGTGCTGAAAAAGAACACAGAGCAGGTGACACAGATTCTCATCGTCATCCCTTGACAGTTGTTTTTGCTCCAATAGAAGGATGGATGGAGTCAATTCCTAGGAAATGAACCACAGCAGAAAACAGCACAGCATATGTCTTGCCAAGAAGGTAGACTGGACATTAAAAATATGCAGCACATTTGTGGCTCCATTGGTAGTTTCCTTCTGTATCTTAATTTTTGAAATTTTATTTTATACATGCTGGTTACAAGAAATTTTGGTAATACAGAAAGACACCTAGCAAAAGTAATTGGAACATAAGAAAGGAATAAAAATAACCATGGTTAACATTTTGTGATACATCCTTCCACCTGTTTTCTTTATGCACATTATTTATATATAGTTAAGTTCATCTTGTGCATAAAGTTTTGCTTTGGATTGCAGTAAGAGACTTTTTTTTTAATAAATCTGCTTTTTTTTTTTTTTAATGAAGTGCCATTATTTTACATCCTTGTTGATTTTTTTTTTTTCACAATATAGGATTTCTCTTCTCAGGAGTAAGAGAGTTTTGATATGTCATTTTAGAAATCCTTCTAGAATATCAATCCAAGACCATTGCTGCTTAAAAGTCCATTTTTAGAGGTACCAAAATTTATTTAAGTGGTTCCTGTTCTTGAACCTTAATTAGTAAAAATTTTTTAATTTTTCATTAATTAAAAATGTCATGTCTTTTGTAGAAGTCTTTGTCTGAATGTCTGAATGTAAAATTATTTTTTTATTCTCAAAGGTTATGCAAGATTTTTATGACTATTGATACATAATGCTAAATTAAATGTGTACTAGCACAAGTTAGGGAAAAAAGGCCAAATTAACTTCCAGAAAAGTTCTGGCAGTTTGTAGTAGCAATGCATGAATTTAGATATGATGTTTGCAGCTGGACTCTAAGAAGCTAGGGTATTTTGGTATTTTGGACACCGTGGTAATTCTGGGTACTCACATCAATGGCCAAGGATCAGGATGAAGTTTATCTCACCATATGGTAAGAAGAGAGGAATGTCAAGTACTCTTGGTGTGAAATTTGCTGGACTGATTATAAGGGACAAAGAGCTTCTCATGTAAAACTGGGTCAGGATATAGATTGCTTTCCAATGTTGGAGAGTTTCCCGAGAATAAGAAGATGGTAGAAATGAAAAGTGATCCAGCCAGTTTGAATCCTATTTAATACCTCCTCAGTGGCCATGAAGGAATCTTGGGTTCTGTACTTGCTGTATTGTTACATATTCAAGGGAAAGGCAGGGAATTTAATGTTATGATTTCAAACTTGAATGTGTTGTATCAAAATGGAACCAGGTAGAAAGTAGGCCTTGGCAGGAAAACACATGGGGGTGGAGGGTGGTAGTTATCAAGGTGAACATTGTGGAGTAGCTCATTACTTTTGTAAGAAATATTAGGACAGTGGAAATTCTTTGCCATAAATGTTCTCTTCTGGGTAAGAAGACCTTGCTCTATCAATATATTAGTAATTAGAGTAGTCCCAGAATGTCAGGTGGATGATTCTATATTGGGGTAGCTTTATATTTCCTTCTTTTGCTTCTGTTTGGTTTTAAAACAGTTTAATTAGCTCTGAAGGGAACCATATAAAATGTACACAAGTGCCAATACAAAGACAGTATGTATTTTAAAGATATATTTCAGTGTCTTTTTTCCCACTAAAATCTAGTCACCTCAGGAGATACTGGCTTGGGATTTCACCAACAATTTGGGATGCCAACAAAAGCTTTACAATGGGGTCTCCCCGGTGGCGCAGCGGTTGAGCGCTGGGTTGCAAAGCTGCCCGCAGCCTCTGCAGCACCGGTTCGATCACCGGCTGCTCCCTGGCCACCGGAGGAGGGTCCCACATGGCGCACAGACCTCTCCTGCTGCCCGCTGCTCCCCTCAGCAGTGTACTTCGGTCCTTCTGCCTGTTCTGCTCCCCGCTCTGGCTCTGGTGAATTCTCTCACCCTCCCGTGCTTCTGACTGTACCCAGTGCTTGTATAAATAAATAAATAAATAAATATTAAAAAAAAAAAAAAAAGACTGACAGGCTGCCTGTGACGGCTCTTCAGGCTTGCCTGTATTTAAAAAAAAAAAAAAAAAAAGCTTTACAATGATGCATTCACGCAAAATTCAAATACATAGCTAGCAATGAGGCGAAATCATTAAATCTTACACAGAAGAAAAATCCCTGTTCATCAAACTTTCACACATAAGATAATGAACTCTGCTGGCCTGTGTGAGCTACAAAATGATGTCAACATAATTTTTGACTTGTCAATATTTAAAAATGTCTGAAATCTACCCCTTCACAGAGTAGACAATCATCTTTTTTTTATAAAGTTATATAAGTCCAACTAATTAATCTGAATGCTCTTAGTCATTCAGTTATCATTATTTCACTTAGCTTACTTGCTGATTATCACATGTGATATCTGGAAGAGTTAGGATGTAATTTGCTGATGCCAGGCAGAAAATCTCTTTGAAAAATGATCTCTCTAGATCACTTCATCATTGGCATCACCACCATTAAAAAGAAGCAACTTGTTCCTTCAGGGACATAACCACTGACAAAAGATTTTTTTTTTTTGTCTCTAGCTGTGCCTATGTTAGTTGGGCCAGTGACAAATCTCAGAAGGGTACCAGCTTACTGTTCAGAATTTTCAGGCACGAAAGAATGTGTATCTCCCTCTGTAAAAATTTATAATATAAATTATGTTTACTGATAAACAGTACATATTATCAACCATAAAATCGTGTGGAATCTTTATAACAGATAATAAATGTTGCCCGGCAGGTGGCTCAAGTTTCATAAACTAAAAAATTGGCAAAAATCTGTGAATGGTCCTGCTGAATCTCTAAGTAATCATTAACTTTTAATTGTTGTAACTCAAAATCTGTGGCAGTGAGAAGAACCATCATTTTAGAGCTTCAGGTATAAGAAAGCCAGTTCTTATCCACACCCCCAGGCAACACCGCTTCACTGACTTAAGAACCAGGAAGGACACATTCAACTCCATTCAATGCCATTAGCTGAGAAAGAACAGTCATCTTACGTTTTGTTCACTGTGGTATTTGAAGTACTTAGAAAAGAGCCTGGCACATAGGAGGTGCCCAATAAGTATTTGTGGAGAGAATTTAATCTTCAAAACAACATCTTAAGGGGGAATTATCAATTCACTCTGCAGATGCAATAGCACAGACTCAGAAAAGGTAATTATCTTGCCCCTGATGACAGAGTTTGTAAGTCTGGAGACAGAATTCAAGACCAGTTCTGCCAGTCTCCGAATCCTATGCTCTATTTTCTATATTCATATTTTATCTTTAAAAGATATCTAAGGTCAATAAACCCATGGGAATGCATGACTGAAGATTACTTACATTGTCCCTTAGTAGACCTGAACTATGTATTTGGTTGAGCCTTTATTAAATAAACAAATACATCTCCTCTGTTAAAAAACTGCATTTTTGGGGCCTCCCTGGTGGTGCAGGAGTTAAAGTCTCAGCACTATCAAGCAATCTACAGCCACTGCGGCATGAGTTCAATTCCTGGCCAGGGAGCTGACGGTGCAGCAGACCTCTCCAGTCTCTCCTGCTGCTCCCCTCAGCCATATATTTCATTAGATCTGCCTGTTCTGCTCCCCACTGTCTCTGGCGAATCCTCTCACCCTCACCTCCACACCTCTAGTCTACACCCCAGATCTCGTATGCATAAATAAATAAAAATAAATCTTTAAAAAATGCATTTTGTGCAGTGTGTTCTTTCCCATGGCATAGAATCAGGATGAATAACAATAAACAATACAATTAGCTGGCATGAAATCAGAACCTTTCAATGGGGCAATGATAGTGGAAGATGGAAGGCAGCTCTTTTGGGTGTCAGTTCAAGAGACCAATGTGGACTTTCTTGGTTGTTCATCTGGCAGTCACAAGTTACTACTTCCCTGTCTCCTAAGTTATAACCCAATGCTGTAAACCTGAGGTGCGTGAGAGGGGAGTCAGTGCCCCATTTGCCCTGGTCCCTAAGATTGGGCCTCTGATCTGTCTCCAAAAAAGGTTGGTGACTCAGAGGGTCTGAGGATTACAGAGAAAGTGACCATTCAGAACAGAGAGATCCACATTGACTGGTATCTTCTGTCTCTGCTGCATCGTGTAAATAGCTTTGTATAAACAAAGGAGATCAAGCCTGGTCAGCAGAGGGGCCCTTAAGAATTGTCTTGGACTGTTTTCTGCAGAGCATTGTCAATAGATGGATTGTCCTGAAGCTGAGTTGCTGAGATTTGACTTGTTTTCTAAGTGCTAGGTAGGATGATGGGCTGACAACTCAAGGAGTAAATCCTTGACCATTGCTGTAAAGCACCTTAGAAAGAATTTGTCTGAGCTGTAAGTAGTTATCTTATTTCAACCTCAATTTTCCACTGTTGCTAATTTTAATGAGATTTTATTTGGAAGACTGTGTTCAAAAAGGGAGGATCAAATCCATTCTGGACTTTTTGCCTCCTGGGTTTTTCTTAATGGGGTGTATGTGTGTGTTGGGGGAGGGTTCCCATATGGAGCAGTGATTATAGTGAAGAATTGACCAGCATCCCAGAGCAAAGGTCTCCCTGCAGGGGGTCTACCAGGTTGTATGGCTTCTGCACAGAACCTCTCAGAGTAGAGCAGAAGGCTGAATTTGAGGGGGACCCATGATTTGATTGTGATATGAAGGCTCTGAAGCAAATGGGATAAGAAAAAGGCTTTTGGAGAAAAGGCTGAATGGAAGAAAGTGGTGTAGTTAAGGGAAAGACTAGGAAACAACAACTGGGGTGTAGTTCTGACTGTGCCCCTCTGCACCGCAAGACTCTAGGCAGATTCTTGCACTTTGGTGAACTCAGCATTATTTTTTGTAAAATGAGGGACTTGCATCTCCAGCTCTGCCATGAAGAAATGGTGATGTAGTTTTTCTGTATCACATACCAGGTGCCACCGATGCATTAGGCATAGTAGACAC